TTTCCGTAAGTTTCAGCTTTACCGAGCGAAGGCAATTAGAAGTTTGCAGATATGTTAGATTTTTTTTCGGTGAGTATCCATTCAAGCGGAATCTCTTAGGAAATGAGACAATGTTTCAGAAAATGTCGTATTACTGATTTCGAGATCACATATTCATAATATTGTGATCATAAAATCATCTGTTCAACAGTTATAAACATGTGATTATATGAGTAGAAGAATGATTTGTGTTTGTTGATTGTAAAATATTGCAAGATTATAATGTAACCTTTTTCAGCGCCTTAAGTCATCCAACCGTATTTTGCAGCGGTTGTTTAATTTGCATCGAATTACCGAACACATAAACTCGATGTATTATTAGCGACCCAGTTCAAAACAATACAATTCAAACGAATTTCAGAACAAAACGGCGATTTGACAGAACGAAATAGACGAAGTATCGATGAATCAGGGTATAGACCATTGAAACTAACCGAAATGATGCAGTATTGCTGTCGTTATGGATGTACATTCCGAGATCTTTTACCGTATTGCGATCCCTTTAGTGGATGGGACTCATAAACATACATCGCAAAGTATTTATCAACATCGAAGTGGTTTCTTGGACTACTTTTCCTGTTGAACATCAGCGAACCGATCTATCAATATCATCACTGTCATCACTGTTCTCATAACCATTGTCAACTCAATCAAAACATTCGAATTCATTTGCACGAATAAATCGAATTCTGTTGAAATGTGTCATTGAAAAATGAATATATTTATAATTAGACCTTAATGGTCATCACTATGGCAAATTAATCATTGAAATGTTCGCTGGTTATTATTTTAATTCATTCGTTTTGATTCATTCACGATTATGAGCGCACAGACATTACTAAATCCTTGTTGCATAATTGACTATTCACAGATGGATTCTGTCGCTGTATTTTCCAGACAAGATTTAATCTTACGTTTTTATATTGCTTCACTTCTTCAGTTGTATACTTANTCGCTGTATTTTCCAGACAAGATTTAATCTTACGTTTTTATATTGCTTCACTTCTTCAGTTGTATACTTATCTTCATAACAATCGAACTGATCTCAGCATTCATTATTTTATTCACTTTTGTTGCTTATTGTCAGCGGTATCATTATTGTTATTATCCGTATAGTGTGAGATAAATTTAAAACAGCTGCACAATTCCATCAAGGGACAGCAATGTTCTGTATGCTTGCTGATATTCGAATAATATCATTTGATATGGACTCGTATAATACCATTTCTTGTGGATTCTGGGATTGAAATCATCCAAAGAATGAAAATGAAGTCAGCAGCGATGATATCAGTATTGGTCCGTATTGTGATCTTGATATTATCAGTATTTTCAAAAAGAACAAATACTGATAAGAATAATAGTGATAATGGTGATAATATTATGTATAATAAAACGTGTGCATGTATTAAACTACTCGGTTGTGATGGATGAAATGATGAATTGATAAGAAATATATGAACATAGCTATGAATATGTGTGGAATATATGAAGATAGCTATGAATATGTGTATTTATCGTAAATGAGGATAAGTACCATATTGCTAACACGATTTTATTTATCAAAATGAACACCATTTATACTCATCGTTATATCTTGTTATGATATGAATACAAGATTCGTGTTTAATGAAGATATTATATCAGTGTATTAATGCTTCATAGCAGTTCAATGCACATTGCTTCATCATCAAAGGATTTGACACCAATAAAATGTTGATTAATTTACTGTTGAAGTAACTTGATTGCTTAGTTCAATATCAATCGCTCTGACCTTCTCTACCCTTAACAGGGTCGATAGCAGTGCGCTTACTTTTAATTGGAGGTAGATGCCTTATTCATTCTCAGCCCAGCGATCCCGGTTCCATTCCACAGGATGCGTCACTTATCTGGGACTCCTTCCTCCTGGAGTAAATTCTCCTCTCCCTCGATGAAACTCTCTTTCCATCGGGCGAACACTCCTCCTTCCTGGAGAACCCTCCTTCCGCTCGGGTGATGGATGTTAACAAATCGGCTGGTAAGATATTTACTTGTGTATATGGCTCAAACCTCGCGAAAGTTTAGCTTTCGCATGGATTCTGTAAATGTCAAAATGATCACATGCTATATAAAATACAATCCACTCATCTCATGAAAGCACCCTTAACAACTTTTGTGAAGCAAATAAAACTTTCATTAGCAACCATTTTTATTCAATAAAGCAACAAAGAAATCAATGAATTTCAAACACAAACGATTAAAAGATTTATTACAAAGTGCTACTGGTGGAAAAGTGTCCACATGTCAAAACTTAAGTTTGCGCTTGCACTTAAGCTTAGGCTTAGCTCTCGACTGAAATTTGAGTTCATGTTTCCGGTTGAACTTAGAGGTAGAGCTTACATGTGAACTCGAGTTCCAGATAATCATTTACTGACCTATTAAATCGACCCTATTTAAGCTCGAGTGTTGGCACTTTTCAGGTGACAACAATTACAAATGAGTCATTTGAAGGATGGACACTGTTTTTGTTGGCAAACAATCGCCTTCTATGCCAGATGTTCCACTCGATTCTTCAACAGCATTTCGATTGAAGTCAGCATTTTTGTGCTTCTCAAGAAGGCTCGAAAATCTTTGGAACATACCATCGATATCTTTGCGTTCATACACCTGAATTGCAATCTTTCCGTTCAGCATTCTCAATCGACTTTCCTTAACATGCCAATCAAATGACGTTCTCCTCTCAAATAGTTCGCCAAAGCAACACCATCAATTAGGCGACCACTTTCAGCACGAAAACGATTTCAATTGTACCGAATTGAAATTGTAACCGATTCAGGTAGTGCTGATAACTGAACGTCTTTTGAACACTTTACACGAGTCTAATCCTTATTGTCAGACTAAGCCTCATTCTTAACCCAAACGCCTAGTATTCGCTTGAGCCTACACCCCTCCTACACCAGAATGAAACGCATTTTCCAGCACAAATGAACTGTTTTGGCATCAAATTATGAAAGGGATCAAAATCAGAGTAATATCGAAACCTAGCTTGGACGTACAAGATAAGGTTTAATCAGAAATGTAATATGATCAATTAAAAAACCGATACTTTATTCAGAACTCCTTCATTGTCATTATCATCATTACGATTACATTTTCTGATGAATTCATAGCTGTTCGTGTATAAACCACTTTGCATCATTCGTTTCAACTGTTCACGGAATCGTTTGCGTCTATTTATCGTAATTTCATTCATATCATTCACACTCAATGAACGTGTCAATTCCTTTAATTTTATTGTATCATATTATTATTACATTGTTAATAATAACAATACAATATTATCAAATCAATATAAAGTGAAATTAGCAAAAATATCAAATGAATTTTGTCACTGAAATATCAAATATTCAGATGAGAGATCATTGAACTAAGAAACATGGCAGACTAACCGCACAGCTGACAATGTCACTATTGCCGATAGCCGTCATCGAGTAAGACGTCTTTAAGGTTGTGCTCATGTGAATAGTTACGGGTGTATTTGACTGAGTTTTATCAGAATCTTGACTGGTTCGATTGCAATGAGCATTCATTGGTGACGATGATAATGATCTGTCTTGATCCTAAAACTTCATTGTGGCATTCATCATTTATTGTAGCACTAACTTATCACATCTGAATGCCGGTTTAATGAGGTTTTAAATCTCGTAGGTTTTAAATTTAATTCAGTCATTTGGTTAGTTTTCATTCGTTTACTTATTCATAAGATACCGGTATTCAACCAAAAATTTCAATAACTCATTACATATAGATGCCCATCTGCCATTTACTACAACTATTGTGTATCCGTTATCCGAATATTGCAATTTTGCTTTCAGTTGATGATATCTGTACATCAGATCAGATGTTTCCTTGAATTTTATTCCGACTATTGACCTATGAATCACAGAGGCACTGCGGATTTTAAAAAGAATTGCATTGTATGACAGTACACGGGTCGGAATCGGTTAGGAACGAAATGACAAGATTGAATCCGCAGAACTGCTGCAAGTGTTAGATGAAAATGGCAACTGATCTTTTGTAGTGTTGACACTTGGAGGATTTAAGAGTGGTCCGGTTGGTTTGCGAATGAAACGTGCATTCATGAACAGAATAAATAAATGAATGATTAAGTAATCATATATAGTGATATTTTAATGAAAATTGTATGAAAATAGAAAGAAACCACTTTGTTGTTCACATCAGTTTTTTGTTGATGATACAAATAATCACATTCCGATGTGTCCGTCGAAGACGTCTGTAAGTTCAGGATCAGTTATGCCACATCCTTTAAAGTAATCCACCAAAATTGCTTATTATCAAACAAAAAACTGATAACATTGTTTAGTTTCCATCAAATCGAATGTTGTTTCAATTGAACTCGGAGCCATAAAAATTGCTAAAGTTTTCATAAAACAAGCAAAGAATCATCTCGTGCATTGGCTTATCAACCTTGTGCCTAGGCTCAGATTCAAGCTTGAGGTTTCGCTCAGCTCAACATCAGTTTTGTTTCTGCAAAACGATTGTGCTTGATCGAATTCGATCAATAAAGTGCGTCCGCTCCTCACGATCAGTGGAAAGTTGAACCATTATAGAAGGCAGTTTTTTCTCACAGCTACATTGTCGACAAGATTATTGTTACCTTAGTGAAACGTGCATAAATGAATTAATGACGATCTACGCATCAAAAAATCAATTTGAATGAAACTTGTTTTATTAGGAGCGAATGAGAAGTTGAGGTGAATTTCACGTAGCTGGATGGTTACAAGAAACCTATTGGATATTATATTGTATTTGTTGAAGTGAACACTGGATACGGCAATTAGATGATTACGGATAGCTACTCAAATGGTTTTGTGGCTATTTTAATGAGTTAGGCTTATGCGATAATGACGGAATGAACGGATGAGAATATTATAGCAACAAACCGAGGATGATAAGGTGAAGGAGCAATCAGCCAATGCAGTTGTTTCTCGAGTGGTTTCAATCGTTTTATCGACGATTCCATTATCAAATTTCGTCTCATCAATAACGCTCGATTTTGATATCTTCGAGTCAGCCTCATTTAATGCCTCCAATTGCACAACTCCATCTGCTCGCAGTGGCCAATTCATATCTTCACCTCTCAGTGGTAATCTTCTTGAAACATTTATTTCAATTCATCGCTTCATTAAAATGGTTTTGCATCGATCAATCATAAGAGAACAAGAGCAACTTGTTTAGAATGTTTCGTACAAATTTATTTGGAACAAATACGAATAAACTGAAGCTGGCATAGGGACTAGTGCTCTACCACCCCCCCCCCCCCCCCCCCCCCCCCCCCCCCCCCCCCCCGCGGGGGGGGGNAGTGCTCTCCCCCCCCCCCCCCCCCCCTTCTAAACCCTTGGCTGTTCCGGGGAGATGGGAACAAATGTCTCTCCGTTCCCGTGGCAGGCGATATTAGCAGGATGGCCATCTCCGCCGTCTTGCACACAATTCATCATGCCAACTTTAAATCAACCATTTATTACCTCAAGCAACGCAAGACAATAATCCTGCAAGACTTACCGTAAAATATCTTGATCAAAATTGCAATTGTACCTGTAATATTTTATTATTCATATCAGTTTTCTTGGTTTGTTGATCTCATAACAACTAGTACAGCAATTGATAATAGCAACGTTGTCATATCACATCAGTCCAGTAAGTCATTTAAAAAATATTGCACTTCTATGAGCGAATTGTATCTGAATTCATTTATCATTGCTATCCACCCCAGAATCTTCTTGAAATCACGTAATAAACTAACAAGAAAACTTTTGCAGCCCAAATCGGAGCTTCATTATTTCGAACACGTAATTCAACCTGAAAATAGAATAGCACTTATTACCATCAATGAAATATACAGGCTTTATTATGACTAACGGGTATGGTTGTGTACTAATGTGGTTCAATAACGAATGATAGGCTGTTGGTATGGTAGAGATGAATCGACAGAGTTGAATCAAACCGTTGAGTTGTTGATATCAGTAATTTTGATGTATACTGTATCCATCTTTTTCGTCACTTTGATCAGTGGTGCATTGTCAATGTGATATATTCGACCAATTAAGGGACTTCTGAAGTTTGGTTCGAATTCTTAGATCAACCCGACCTTACATGTTCTTTGATAATCTACGGTGACAATGGAACTTGAAAAAAAAGAATGTGAAACATGAAACTATTCATGAAAATATGCGTTGTTTTGTTTTTCATCAAATGAATTTTGTCAGTGTCTCAAAGAGACATCAACGCCTTAAATGAACTGAATTGATGCGTTGAATTCAATAAATGAAATTGAATCAAACAGTAAATTCACACGGCTCCTTGT